AGTAATTGTATATGAGCTTTTTATTTCACATAAAGGAGTTTACATTTTTAGAGAAGTTACTAGAACTAATCTGCCAACGACAAGTATTAATATATCTTTATTACATCGATGTGTGCCGACTTTTCTGTTTTTTAAGGTATTAACTTATTTTATTATTATTATTATTATTATTATTATTATTATTATTATTATTATTATTATTATTACTATTATTTTTATTTAATTTATTTTTTTTAACTTTATCTTTAATAATAATATACGTTTTAAGGAAATTATAATTGAGAGTTTACGAAATATAAATCAATACATTATGGAGGCTGGTTTGAGCATGCCAATCAATAATGAAAATGCTAGTTTATTTCTAATACCCATGCCTTATTCATCTATTGATGGAAAAGATTAATTGAATTCAACATAGAACTGAAGAAATACCTAAACTATCAATTATAAATTTTTACATGTCATTGTTTATACAAAAAATTATAATATAACTTGTAATAATGTATTAAAAACGAACATTTCGCATAGAAATTGTCATGCTCCGGACAATAATAAAGTCATGTGTTATTTATTTATTATATGAATAGCTTTATGTACTAAACCAAATCTGGAATTAATTAGTATTTTATTCAGTATACGTACTCGTGTAATTTTAATCAAATAATACTAATATAATTAGTATACATGATTGAATTACTTATACATCAGAAATTCAAGAAACTTGATTCGGTTTTCTAATTCTGATATATAAGTATAGATATGAAGCAAATGAGTATTATCATGATCATGTAAAATAGAAATGGTATCTCTTGATAAAAAATTAATGTCGGATGATGGAAAGGCATGAATGCTAAGTGAATATGGATTATAAGGCTCACAGTAGAAACACCAGTTGAATTAAATTTTTTGTAAATATAGGTTATCTAAAAAATATTTTGGATGCCTCTCCTGCACTATAATCATCTTTATTCCCATGATCTTTTGTCCATCTTATTGCATCAGAAAGGCCAAGACGTCCAGCTTCAATAATGAACTTGCAACCTTCTGCAATATTTTTATAACAACCAACCCCAGCAAGTAAGTGTAGCCCCATTTTAAATTTAATTTGACGTTTAAAATCATTGTTTCCTTCATCTTTTATTTTTTTATACATCATAAAAGCATCATTGTAATCTGAAGAAGCAGCAACAGTTTGAAATAACTTTAATAAAATAAGCTGATATCTGACTTCTTCTGCTTTAAATTTTTTTTGAGCTACCAAATATTCACGGTATGTTTAGCCGAGTTAGACATTTTTTGAAACTTTTAAGATATATAGTATGTCAAAAAAATTAGATATACTTTTATTTTATATATTTCTTCAAATGCTCAAATTGATGTCTACTTCAGAATTCTCAATGCATTTTTAAAGTATTGTAATTAAATAAAATGTGAATTGAATTTAAAAATTCGATTAAACTTTGTTCTTTATGCCTCTAATAATAATTATTTTATCATATCAATTGTGCGGATTAATCAATTGAATAAATCATTAATGAGAACTGATTATAGCTAGCTGTCACAATTAGATTTATTCTTCTAAAATTTATTAACTGATACAATTATAGATTACAAATTCTCTGATGGTCAAGAATATAACCCTCTTCATCACCTTTGCGATATTTGTATCCATGGAGGTATTCCAATCAAGGAACAATTTAATTTCTTTACATCAACTCATATAGACCTTAAAGAATTAGGAATTAATAATATTCGAAATAATGCTAACAATATTGTTGACGATATGTGCTCTCTTACTAGCAAGACGAATCTTATCATCTCCGATAAGTTGAAAGTTTCTAATAAAATAGGTACTAAGGCATCTAATGAAGCTGATGCAATTACAATCAGAGAAAATCATACCATTACACCCGGAGAGATTGGCATTAACTCTCTCAATATGATAGATTTCAATTATTCTGCCAAAATGGTGATGATCAATATCAATACCCTCAATGAACATGATATATTACCCTTTTTATGGACTCTTCTTAGAAAGCCACTTGATAAGAATCTACTTATGTGGCTTGGGGAGAAAGGAGGTCGTCCTATATCTGAAAAAGTTTTTTGCAACTACCTAGTGAAAAATATACTCCAAAATTGGAAAACAAATGATTTAAAAATATTGCAGCTATATTTTATCATTACGAAATTAAAGTCACAAATAACGAATTTGATCAATTAATTCTGCATAAATATATTGCAAAAGATGGTACATTACATCAACTTGAGATGTTGTTTGGTTATTTCTGGGATTTTTATGATCCAAAAATAGTAAATGAGGCTCTGAAATATGCAAAAGGCAAAAAGCAATCATGTCTTAAGAAATTAAGTAAAAAATTTGATGAAAGGAAGTTGAAACTTAAAGATCATCTTGATGAATTAGTCATACCTTTGTTATCAAGTTTGAAAACAAATCAAATATAAACTGATATTATTAATTGTTTTACTGTAAATTTTTCTTATTTAGTCGCCGATGTTAATAACTATTATAAAATATAACGTTTACAATTATCTAAATATGCCGCAACAAAGTACGCCTTATAGCGGTTAAGAAGAAAAAAAATATATGCCGCAACAAAGTACGCCTTATGGCAGTTAAGAAGGAAAAAAAAATATGCCGCAACTAATCAAATGCTAACCCTAGTCCTGCGTGATATCGAGTAAATGATCTGTTACTGTCGAATAAATAAGCGACTATCATATTTAAAATATAACTTGACAACATCATTGATTTCATTTAAATTGTAACTAATATTTTGACTTGAATTCAAGAGACTTAAAGAATTAATTGATATTTTTTTAAATATTACATAAACGCCAAAAGTATCATCTGGATATTTAGAAATTTCACATGTAAATTTCTTTATTTGACCGACGCTAACTTCTTCATTTTCATCATGATATTCTCCGTATATATAGCGTACGTATAAAATTTTTTTTTGTGCACATTTTTTTGTGTTTGCGCGAATAAAATTTTTTTGAATTTAAAATAACACTGGTTATCGTTATGTTTACCAGAGTTTTGAGTTAACTCTACTAAAATTATATTTACAAGTTAAACGTTAACATTTAATTAAATCCTACCAAATTTACGGTTACCAGAATTACTAATTAATTCCACCTACATTATGAGTTACATAATGTACAAATTAATTATATCTGATATTTACCAAAATTATATTTACTGGAGTTAAATAAATAAAATAAACAATGTAAACGAATTATACTTTTTTTTTTTTTTTCTATTCAATTTGAATGCATTATCTATCTTGACGTTAAAACATTTTTGGAATTGACACTCGCAAAAATTTAAGTGATCTAATGTGATGTGATAACCATT